ATTGTACAACTGTTTGCATTGGAGAAACTCAGTGAAAGGGCATTATCTTAAAGCTCTCAGACTCGCAACCGTAAGGTTGTGGGTTCGATCCCCACCAGGGGCCCGATGTGTGTCCTTCGGAAAGTCACTTAACACGAGTTTTCCTCACTTCACCCAGGTGGGAATGAGTGCTCAGCTATAGGCAGCAAAAGATCTTGTCAGTTTGTTAGTGTTTTAGAGCTTCATCAGCTTCTTAGGGGGCTCTCGATGCCTAGAGGTTAAGGTGTTCCCCTCTCATTCAAAGGTCCCGGGTTCGAATCGGGATAGCAACCGAACAATTTTCTTCTCTAAAATCGTCTCCTTTCACTTCCTTTCCTGCTCTCTGGCAATGTTCTGTCGTCTGCTTTCGTCTCCTCTTTCTCTCCCCACCCCCTCACCTCCTTTGCCCTCTCCTCTGGGCTCCTGACTCTTTCTGCAGCCTTTTAAACAAATACTCCTTTGCTCCTTCTTACTGTTGTCTTTTAGCCACACCCCTGATCTTCTGGTAGGAAAGATCTACACTTGCCTTCTCAGACAGGGGCGAAAAATCTCGGAGAGCCCGGCGCAAGTTGTGCACGTTAAAAATCCCTTGATGGGCTAAAATCGGTAAGAAAAGGTATCGGCCGCCACCCCGGCAAAATTCAAAATTTCCTACCAACTGAAAATGTTTAATGTGTCTCGGGCGCTCGTATGATCATGTGACCTTATGCAGTTACGAGTGCCGTAAAACACTTACCAAAAACAAACAAACAAACAAACAAAAATCAGCTGCTTGCACTGTATGCTTCCAGGGAAGCTAAAATATTTCTGAGTCTTCTTTGGTCTTTTGAGGTGATAATGTAGTGTGTGAAACGCATAGAGCTTGCTGTCGAGCGGGTATATTATGCGCTGTACAAATGATATCTATTATTACTATTACCATCTCTTTTTTCGAATAAGCAACATATATCACAACAAGATTAATTCGTCTTTGTCGCACCAAATTCTCCCCTGGCCCTAAAAAAAAGTAAAATAATCGTGCATATAAAAAGGAAAAATTAAATGATCAATTGCTTTGACTTGGATTTTTTAAAGCGAAACATCTTAACTCCTATCCCCCCCCCCCCCCCCCCCACCCCGCTCGAAAAAAATATCCGAATACAAATAACAGAACACCCCCTCCCCCACCACCACCCCCCAAAAAAAACCCCAAACAAACAACAAAACCGCACCAGTTGAACAAAAACACAACACATGGCTGCTGTGCTTATTTCTGGTTTTTATATCAATACTGTCTCTAATGTTTCATTTTGTTTTGCTTTAAAGCATGTTTTGTTTCAACAAATTTGCCGCTGATGCCTTTGGGAGTATAGTTTGTGGAAAAGAGAAAATTGTGTTATTGTTATTCTCACTTTTTATTCTTCTTTTTGGAAAACAAACAAGAAAATGAAATTTAATAAACCAGTCACGTGATTATTTTTTATACAAAAAAAAAAGAATCATTGGTCTGTTCATTTGATTCGTGACAACACAACAACGTTTCTCAGCTTTCAATAAATGCCAGGAGTTGTCAGGCGTCGGTGGCCTAGAATCTAGTGGTTAGGCTATCGGACTAGTTATCGTAAGGTTGCGGGTTTGGGGGTTCGAGCCGCGGGCCTGACGTTGTGTCCTTGGGAAAGGAACTTTACACGAACTTTCCTCAGACTTCACCCAGGCGGAAATGCGTTCCCGGCCATAGACAGCGAAAGATCTTGCCAGTACGTTAGTGTTTTAGAGACGATAAATAGTCGCTTGTACTGTGCACGTATGCTTCCGAAGTAGTTGAGGTTGCTCAATGATATGTGTTACAACGTGATGAAATCAGGCGCTCGTCAATTTTTGGGCATATGGAGGTAATGGTATCATCTTAAATCTTGTTTATTTGTCTTGTTTTCGACGGATAAAATATCCACCTATCTTTAACAGAAGTCGAGATATTTCGAATTGAAGCAGGTGGGGTCACTAGGTTTCAGAAGTAGAATTAGAGAGAAAATGTCAGCCAAAGTTTGGCAACTTCTGGAGCTTAATAGCCACTGGAAAAGGTAAATTTATGTTTTTTGTGTCTTTATTCAACGTTTTTCAGAAATAGCGAAACAGCAAAGAGTTTTTAAATGGACGTAAAGTGTTGAGCCAGAAAATATAAATTCCATAGTAATTGCCAAAAGGGAAAAATGGCCATTATCTTATATTTCTTTCTTTTGACAAGCGCCTGATTTCACCACGATCCCGATGCCTCACATATACACATTATTACTATCAGTCGTGCAACCAGAGAGTTTACAGTATTACCGTGTTACTGTAGACGCTCTGTTCCAACACGGCATGGACATTAAATAAATGTATAAGGATCACGGGCATGTTGAGAATTTCAAGAGAAAAACAAAGACATTTTCACACCCCAAAAACGTGCGTTAAAGCAAAATTGATAACAGATCCATCAAATAGCCAATATAAATGATGTAATTATTTATATTGGCTTAAGGAATACTTTCCTTCACAAAAACACACAATATAATTCGCCTCAATGAAAAGTGATATCAAACAAGAAACCAGCACAAATACGCAGTTTCTTAATATGTGAAGCAGCGTGGTGGAATCAGGCTCTTGTCAATTTTTGGGCATGTAGAGTTATTGGTATCATCTTAAAGCTTGTTCGCTTGTCTTTATTTGGATGAAAAAGATGTCCATTTATTTTGAATACAAGTGGAGATATTTGAGAATGAAGGAGGTGGGGGTCACCTGTTTTCAGAGGAAAATTTAGTGAGAAAATGGCCGCCAAAGATTGGCTATTTCCTTAGCTTTAGAGTCCGTGGTTACTGGAAATTTCCATTTTTTGTGCCTTTAATCAACGTTTTTCAGGAAAATCCTCAGAGAAATGAGTTTTTTTAATGGGCATGAAAGGTGTTGAGCCAAAAAACAAATATTTGATAAAAATTCACAAACCTACGGAAAAATGCAGGTTTCTTCAATTTGATTATTTTGACGAGAGCCTGATTCCACCACGCTGCCTCACATATTAATACATCTATTGTACAAAACAGAGGCAAGTCCAGATTAAGTAAGTTATTTATAAATAAACCAAACAATATCGGTATTAAATCAAATTAATATGTTCTTTTTTTTTCAATGGGCCACATCGAGATAAACAAATCTTTACACCAAGTATTGCACACTCCCCTCAGTTTCATTTCGTGTCGTAGTCAGCTTTTACTTTCGCCTTCGACAAGGTCAATGAGCAGTTTCTGGTACAAGCTGTGTACGACACATAGCAGTCGTAAACATTTCCTTGTCTATTTAGACCATTGCTTTTCATCCTGTATATTATAGTCAGCATCTATTCTTGCCACATGCAGGCAGCTGGCTAAACTTTCAATAACACCAATCGACGCGTTATTCCAAGATGGATATGAGATACTGGTAAATAACACTCTTCACTACCCGGGTGACCCCAAACGCTCGTCAAAATCAATAGTTAACCGTGCACCAAAATAGCCAGTGCAGCCCACCAAAGCAGCCATTCGCCCACCAAAAACAGGCAATACATCCCACTAGAGGATGAAAGCACCCTGGTTGGCAAGCAAAGGTGTTGATTATAACAGCATATTAATAGTAGCAACAATTAGTAAGATGATTTGCAAAAGACAGGAGCAAAGAAAACTGACATTACGGTTTAAAGCTTAATTAATCCGTGCCTGGTGAAAAAATGAAGCAGATCTTTCTGAGAGAATGAGATAGAGGGGTAGGGAGAGAGAGAGAGAGAGAGAGAGAGAGAGAGAGAGAGAGAGAGAGAGAGAGAGAGAGAGAGAGAGAGAGAGAGAGAGAGAGAGAGAGAGAGAGTGTGTCGGAAATGTTATATCGTAATAGAATTTTCTAAAGCAATATGGACAAAATATTTTGAAAAAAATAAACTCAAAACAACAACATTCAACTTTGCAGAGGTATTTTTCCTAAAGGAGACCCGTGAAAAGAGATACTTTTGTAAATTAAATACATTTCATACGCAGGTGCAAGCTGTTCCTTAAAGGCGAAAGATGGTAGCAGAGTAGCAAAAAGAAGATATAGAAGAAAAGTTTAAGTTCACGACACACGCAGAAAGATTTAATAAATTAAGTAAATGAACAAATAAATAAATAAATAAATAAATAAATAAATAAATACATTGTAGAGCGAAGGAAATGACACCAACACCCTTCTTCATCGTAAGACAAATTGTAATGGAGGCATAGAATGAAAATGACAACGCACTTATTATTACAACAGTGAGCGGTGATTCACTCCCCTGCGATGCCAACTTTGCGGTCAGCACGATGTCAATGTATGCGTGTGAAGATATGGGTACGTATTGCGCGCGCATGTGTGTGTGTGTGTGTGTGTGTGTGTGTGTGTGTGTGTGTGTGTGTGTGTGTGTGTGTGTGTGTGTGTGTGTGTGTGTAAGCCTGTATGTATGATGTGGCTACAAAATAAATAAATAAATAAATAAATAAATAAATAAATAAATAAATAAATAAATAAATAAATAAATAAATAAATAAATAAGTAAATAAATAAATAAATAAATAAATAAATAAATAAATAATCTCTGAACTGCACTGACACCTCCCCAAAAAAACTACCCAAAAAAAGATTACAAAAAACCCAACAACAACAACACCAACTTAGTTACTCTCTTAACAAATAATTACGCAGGATGCGAGCCTTTCAGTCCACCACTTTCTATCTAAGGATATTTCTCTATCATTTCACAGCTGCATTACTTTTCTCTCCCACACGTCATCCGTGCCTTTCCAAGTCAGTGTTTTATTGTCAAAATAGTATTGATAGCCGCGTCCATCTGAGCCCGTCAAAAGGCCAACACAGGAAAGAAAAGCAGTCATTATTAAGAGCTAAAAACTCTTTACTCCCTCAATCGGAGAGTAAAACACCTGCTATCTAACACACCTGTTTGCTATGAGAAACACCTTGCTGTGAACTCAAATCAATATGAGTAATTTATTCTTAAAGTTTGATTTGAGGGTACAGAGAGAGGTCTGTTTCTTTTTATTTTCCGCCGCTTATCGTTATGACGACCGGCTGAAGTCTTCCTTCTCACGAAGTCCTGGTAACTCAGATGCTGGCGAGAGTGACCTCTTCTGTGTGGCAGTTGCTGTAGTTGCTGTTGGAGAAGGTCATCGTAAAGGTATGATCTCTACGGCCTCGAAAGGGCCGCGTCCGCATCCCATAAAAACAGCAAAAACACGCGGACTTGAACTCTTTCCGGAACTTGGCTGTGGAGAGACAAAAAGAAAACAGTGCAGCTGGTTAGAAAATTCTCTCTCAAATTTAATACAATTCATGTCGTTTGCAGTCCCCACCCCCTTTTCCATTTCTACTTTTTCCTTGTATCGAAAACACCCCCAAAATTAATAATCAAAATAACAAAAACATCCGAAACAAAAGACCACACGAAAAAAACAACAAACAGAAACAGAACAACAACTCAAAAACTTTCTCTGAAAGAAATTTAATTTAAAAATAATAATAAGGCAATCCCCCCCCCCCCTCCCCCAGAAAGGAACAAATTAAGGCTAAAATGTGAAAAGAACCCTTAAAATTGCATAGATCTATAATCGAAGATACACGCATTAAAAAACCCCTAAAAAGAAAAGTTTTAATCCTTAGCGCTCAATCGGAATGGGTTCATGTTTTCACAAGACAATCGTCCACTATTTTCTGAGGATCGTCAATTCGCGTGGGCTCGGGGAAAGAGTACACTCATCATACTAACAAGCAGCTTCAGCAGACTATTTAATGCAAATAGAGCCGGATACAGACTAGGTGGGCAGAAAAAATGGTATTATTAAAATAACTAGCAGTCAGGAGTTTAATTAACTTGTTGTTATAGGAACTGGAATACGATTTTAACTAGGATGGGCATTAAGAAACTTCTGCTCGCAAAGTACATTCAAGCAAGCGCAAGTTAGATAAACTTACTGTTGTTCACAATGCAAAAACTACAAGTAAAAAGCAACGTCATTTCCATTACAGTAACCGAGATTAATAACTTTGGGGAAGAAGAGACAGAATGAGAGAAGAGAGAGAGAGAGAGAGAGAGAGAGAGAGAGAGAGAGAGAGAGAGAGAGAGAGAGAGAGATGGAGAAAGAGACGAGAGAGAGAAAAAGAGAGACAGAGAGGGAGAAAGAGGGGCAGACAAACAAACAGTTGATATTGTTTTGCCTTAACGCAAAACACGTTTTGTTATGGAACCCTTCACCTGCAGTCTCCCACACCTGCGCTTCCTGAAGCACGTCAACGTGTGAGCATTCGCGCGCACACGCTCGTGTGTTTTTGTGTGTGCGTATGTATTTGCATGTGAGTATGTGTGTGTGTGTGTGTGTGTGAGTGTGTGTGCGCGTGGAGTGTGTGTGTATGTGTGTGTGTGTTTGTTCAACTTTGAGAATACATGACTTGTATATTTGTTTATGTGTGTATGTTTGTGTGTGTGTGTGTGTGTGTGTGTGTGTGTGTGTGTGTGTGTGTGTGTGTGTGTGTGTGTGTGTGTGTGTGTGTGTGTGTGTGTTACCCCTGCATACCCCCCCCCCCCTTTTTTTGTTCCCCCTACCCACCACCGTGCTTATTGTCACTCGCATGTTTGGGTACAAGTCAGAAGAGAGATAGACGAACAATGAGTAGGGTCAAAAAAGATCGCTCGGAGAAACCGCACAAAGATCAGGATCAGATGTAAACACAGGCATAAGCCGGCGTATGTGTAGCCTGTTGCGACAGATGGGGAAAAGTAACAGTTGGTGCCGGCGCTGATAACTCAATCCGCCAGAAGGAACTAAGCAACCCAGTTCTTGAGACGGGACGGAAGTGTTTTCTTTCACATCACTACAGCAGATGGTCTTTCTCTACTTCGCCAACCTGTTGTACTGAACTAAGGGCCAGGGTGCCAAGCACAACCTATACGCATGAAAGAAGACACATGGGTGTGGCGGTGAAGTCTTTGCTCTTCTTGTGTTGCATAGTTTACATTTAGAAATAGTATGTGACGCATCGTTGGGAAATCATCGATCGTCAAAATAGTAAACTTAAAGGAACTGGTGTTTTCCTTTCCGTTTAGCAATTGTTACCGATTTTTTTTCATCAACACCTGTTATGTCTATTTAAAACTACATTTCTCTCTCCTCTCTCTGTCTGTCTCTGTCTGTCTGTTTGTCTGTCTCTGTCTCTGTCTCTGTCTCTGTATCTCTCTCTGTCTCGCTCTCTCTCTCTATCTCTCTCTCTCTCTCTCTCTCTCTCTGTGGATTTTACTGAAAAATATATTTTTAAACACTAAATTGTAAGTATGCAGTTTTCAAGGACTCTCAAGCTTAGGAAGTCACCAAACTTTGGCCGCCATTTTCTAACTTGTTTCACCTCTGAAACGAGGTGACCACCACCTCCTTCAATTGCAAATATCCTCAATTCTACTCAGGATTGATAAATATTTTTAAAATTTGAAAATTTGATTTAGATAAATGAACAAGCTTTGAGATAATAACAACAACTTCACGTGCCCAAAAATTGACACGCGCCTGATCTTTGTGCTTGGTAACACATTGTCGAGGGGTTGACACAATTTTGATCATTTAGAAATACGCTGCTTCTATCGTACTTGTCAGCGCAATTACCTGCTCAGGGAGATGAAACATCCCACCGGAAAGACCCAGAAAGGGGGGCTCTCGTGGTCTAGAGGTTAAGGTGTTGGCCTCTCATTCAAAGATCCCGGGTTCGAATCGGGGTATTTACCGAAACATGATCTTCTCTAAAATACAATTGTCTCCTTTCACCTCCTTTCCTGTTCTGTCGTCTGTTTTGTCTCCTTTTTCTGCCCTCACCTCCTTTGTCCCCTCCTCTTGGCTCCTGACTCCTACTGCTACTCATTGGCTCTTTCTTACTGCTGTCTTTCAGCCACACTCCTGATCTTCTGGTAGGAAAGATCTAGATCTGCACCTAACTTTCTCGGACAAGGGTGAAAACTCTCGGAGGGCCCGTGTGCAAGTTGCGCACATTAAAGATCCCTTGGTGGTCTAAAATCGATAAAAGTAGACTTCGCCGCCGAAATTTCTTACCAACAGAAAAAGTTTAATGTGTCCCGTGCGAAAAAAAAGGACACAGAAACTAAGATAAATGAACGACCTAAGGACATACGAACATAAAAACGAAGTAGTGTTTTCTTTACTCTTTGATAAACTGTTAACCCATTGTACCCTACAATAAATTGGTATTCATCTTGTACTGGTCGGGGTTGTTACACCAAGTACATGTTGTTCATTTGATACATTTGATTCTTTTGATACATTTGATACATTTGATTCATTTGATACATTTAATACATTTAATGCATTTGATACAGTCGATTTCCTTACATAGGCATTAGAAAGCTTCCATTTTTTGCACATTCTGATCAAATCCCTCAAAAAAGATTTAGATTTTCTTGGTTAAATGGTTTTAAATATTAAGCAATTGCATATTAGTATTTATTTTTTATCGATGTATAGAAATGGCAAGCTATAACTTTCGAATAACATTTTTTTTTAAAATCTTGATAAGACCAACGCCAAACTGTAAACGAAAGATCTTCGATATTTGATCGTCCTAATAACAATTTTGCTGTATAGTCCAGAAACAAATATTAAAAAGATAAAAACTTGTTTCGATTTATCTGACAACAGCAGAGTTGCTGTAAGTTAAACTGATGTCGATCTAGGAAACGTGGACAGTAAATGATCGAGTAGACCTTCCCACCATACCTTTTCTAGCAATGTTCGACCCACTAAAAACGCTGTTAGTTTTCGTGTTCAAATTGTGTTTTATTTAGCGACTGAAGCTTTTTTTGGGCTACTAAATAGAAAATAAATGACGTCTCTGACCGAAAATATAAACAATTTTAAACTTAAAGTGCACCTGACATGTACCTCTACTGTTCCATATTTACACACGTGAATCCCAAGCCAGATTCCAGAGAGGAAGTCCGCCAAGGCGTTGACATTTTGATGATGTTGTGATAAAACAGGCCAAAGATAGGTTAGATAAAGACCTCACAGAGGAAACCCAGGCGGAACATTAATAAAGCTCTGAACTTCTCTCAGACTCAGAAGCGATAATGGGAAAATTACGTTTATTTTCTTCTCACTGGGCTGCTTATTATAGTAATAACATTTGGGACCAATTTGTCTTGGGGAGGATTATGGCCGTTGAACACTCCAGGTTTCTGCGATGCGTAGCGTCACGGAGGTCTTGCGACAAAGCAGAGCTTAGCCCTCCAGTGGGCACGTTTATTTCCTTCTTCCCATTTTCTCGTTCTTTTTGTTTGTTTGTTTGTTTCTTTTTATTTCTTTTTTATTTTCGTTTTTTATTTCCACACATTTTTATCTGTTTGTAGCTCTAGCTTCTGTTTTTAGCATTAGCTTGGGTAGCCCTTTGTTCAGGTATACTCGCGACTTTTTTTTTTACGTTACCACAATGAGTTTTCAGTTCCACGGCATTTATTTAACTGAATTACGATACAATTCTCCCCCCCCCCTTGCGGTTGCAATCTCTATAATATAATATGTTTGTGTGTACAGATCGAAGAAAACATGATATTATTATAAACAGTATTTCTAACACACTCTGACTTAACTATTCGGTTCAAGATGACTAGCCATCCCTTTTTATTCTTTCTACTATTTCTCTCTTCCCCCCTCTCTCTCTTTCTGTCTC